GATGAGATGAATCAGTTCTTTGACTAGAGAGGTGGGAATGAGTGCGTTTGAGATGGCTAGGTTGGCACAGGATAGAACAGTATTTAGGGCTCTTGTACATAGGGTTGCTATGAGTCACAAGCGACTTGATGGCACATAACAATAACAACAACAACAATCAATATGTAGTTGGTGACTGGAATGCTGAAGTTAGAAATAAAGAAGAAAGTCTGGGTTTTGGAAATTTAGGATTTAGTGGCTGAAAGGAAAATGGGCATCAAATGACATGATTTTATATAATCAATGATTTATTCATTACAAATACCTTTTAACACCCCCCCCCAACTAAACACATAGACCTCATCTACTGGACAACACTTGAACTAGAGTGAATACATCTGTGGAAGGAGTCAATGTTCAAATCAACAGTCAAAACAAGACCAGGGACTATCTCTGGAACAGATCGTTAATTACTCATGTCCAAGTTCAAATTGAAGTTGAAGAAAATTAAAACAAGTTAACCTATCCCACTTGAATTTAAAATCCAACTCAAGAATATATTCAATGCTTTAAATACTAATGACTGAAGATCAGGTGAATTGTGCAGGAACATCAAGCAAGAAAAAGACCAAAGTAGATGTCAGAAGAGACTGAAAATTGTACTCGAGAGGCCAAAATAAAGAAATGCTGAAGTAAAAGAGGTGACCAGAAGATAACAAAGAGAAATCCAAGAAGACAAAGCAAAACAAAATATGCAAAAAGCTGAAGTTAGAAAACCAAAAGGGAAGAACACATTTGACATTTCTCAAGCTGAAAAAAAAGCTATGAAACAAATTCAACCCTCAATTTGCAGTGCTTAAGGATTCATGGACAAAATCTTGAATGATGCCCAAAGCATCAGAAGAAGATGGAATACACAGTATCACTGTACCAAAAATAATTTGTCAACACTCAGCCACTTCAGGAAGTAGCAATGACCATTACTATTTCTATTGATAAGGAAGGGAAACGTTCAGGCTGCACGGAAGGCATTGGGAAAAAGTAAGGACCCAGGAATTGATGGAATACCAGCTGTCATGATTCAACAAAGAGGCACAATCCTGGACAAGCTCACTAATCTTTCTAAGAAATGTGAAAGTCAATTTAGTAGAAGGATCTGTAGTCCCATTAAAAAAAACACACACATGATCTCATGTTGTTGTTGGTATGTGCTGCTGAGTCGTCTGTGACCCATACGGGTCACTATGGGTTTGAACCCATAGGTTGCAGAAACTAGTGAATAGTTCCATGGATATCATATGCAAGTAAAATCTTGCTGAAGATTATTTTAAAATTACTTGAACAATACATTGATAAAAATTCAGGCTAGATTCAGAAGAAACCACAGCAAAAGGGATGTTGTCGGATGGATCTTGACTGAAAGCAGAGAATACCAAAAAGATGTTTACTCACGCGTTTTTGACTGCACAAAGACACGTGGCTATTTGGATTTTACTAACTTATGCTAACATTGAGGAATGGGAAATCTCAGAACACTTAAATGTGCTCATGAGAAACCTATGCATAGATCAAAAAATCATCTTAACAGAACAAGGGAGTACTGAATGGTTCAAAATCATGAAAATGTTGTGCATCTGGGTTGTACCCTTTCTGCATTCCTGTTTGATCTCTATGTGAGCAAATCTTTCTAAAAGCTGGACCATATGAAGAAGAATGTGACTTCAGGATGAGAGGAATACTTTTGAACAACTCAAATGAGGCAGATGATACAACCTTGCTTGTATTAAAAGAAGACTTGGTGAGCTCTGGTGGCCTAGTGGCAAGAAGGTGTACTGCAATCCTAGAGGTGCACAGTTCAAATCCACTAGATGCTCTGCTGGAGAAGGAGGAACAATCTCCTCCTGTACCAGTCAGATCTGATTTGACTGTACACACACAAAATAATAATTTTTTTTAAAAAAAGAAGAATACTTGAAGCACTTGCTGTAGAAGACTGCAGTGTAGAAGAGTTCGATATGGATTGCATCTCAGCATAAAAAAAAAAAACCAAAAATTCTCACTACTGGACCAATAAACAACATCATAAGTGGCAAAAAGATTGAATTAGTCAATGATTTCATTTTACTTAGAGTCACAATCAAGACCCATGGCCATATTACCCTGGGGAAATCTGCTGTCAGGGACCTCTCCAAAGTACTAAAAAGCAAGCTATTATTGTTAGATGTCATAGAGTCAATTACTACTTATAGAAACCTATGAATCATAGATCTGAATCTTGTCCTATCATGTGTCATCCGCATCATCTCTAATGCATTTGAGTCCGTTGATTCAGTCCATCTTGTTGGGGGTTATAGTCTCTTTCACTGATCCCTCCACCTTTCTAAGCAATGGTGCCTTTTTCTAAGGACTAACCTCTCCTAACAATATTTCCACAGTATGTGAGATGAAGTTTCATCATTCTTGCCTCCAAGGAGCACTCTGGTTTCACTTTGTGCAAGACGTACTTGTTTGTTCTTTTGGCATGCCATGAGATATTCAGTACTATTCTCCAACAACACAACTCAAAGGCATCAATTCTTCCGTCATCCTTATTCATTCCCAACTTTCAGTTGCATAGCAAGTAATTGAAAAGATCAGTGCACCAAAGTCTCCAAACTGACATTGTTGATTTTTAGTACTTTGGAGAAGTCCTTGACAGTAAGTTTCCCCAGGGCAAGTCTGTTGCTTTCTTCATGGCTGGTACCAAGAGTGTTAATTTTGGATCCAAGTAAGATGAAATCATTGATAATTACAGGTTATTCCCCGTCTATCATGATATTGCCTGTTGGTTCAGAGAAAGGCACAGGATAGTACAAGATTCAGATCTGTTGTTCCTACAGTCTTTATAAGTTGTAGTTGACTTTGTGGCACCGAACAACAACATCAGTCAAGTGGTTAAGCTTTTGGCTACTAACTGAAAGTTCAGTGGTTTGAACCCAACACCCCATTTTTGGAAGAAAGATACAGCAGTCTGTTTCTGTAAAGATTGCAGTCTCAGAAACCAAATAAGGCAGTTCTACTCTAGCCTACAGAGTTGCTATGAGTTAAAATTCACATTTCACGTGAATTTGGCAGTGGATTTGGCTTGATTTCATTTGAACTCCCCCCTTTCATCTTCATAAAAATAATGCAACCTTAGAACTTCTGAGAACTTTATAAGCTATCCACAGCAGAGAGCAGTGTGCATTTCATAGGTACTTAAATACAGTGGTTTATCCACTTCTTGATTTTGCTTCTCACTATGACTACATGAGAGAGAAGTTAGGATAGGAAAAATAACTCTGAACTTCATGAAAAAAGGTCTCTTATTAGCTAGTTTCTAATGCATCTAGTAGTCTCTGAGGACATCATCTATCGGTTTTTAATTAAGTCTTGAGGATTAATCATCTAGAATTAGTAAAGCTTCTTAGCTCTTTATAGTTTGTAATAAAGCTAAGTCTATATTAATACAGATGTGTGTGGAGTATTTGAAGCAGAGATATAAGATCGTTTTATCATACTTTCTGTTTCTTTGCTGTGCATTTTTCATTTTTGCTTGTTGTTTACTGTTGAGTCAGAACTGATTCGTACTTGATCTTCCAATGGGTTTTCAGAAACAAGCATATTCACTGGAAATGATTGAAGTTATTATTTTCTTTTGGAGAGGAAGAAAGACTTTAATGCAAAAATATTTATAGTCTTTCATCTTTTAATTTTGTGTTCCTCAATAGAAAAATAATCTTTGCTATTATATAGAACTAGTGTTTTTGTTGATGTTGTTATGTGCCATCAAGTCCCCTGCAACTCATAACGACCCTATGCACAGTAGCTTTGAACTCTGCTTTATCCTGAGCCATCCTCACTATTCCTGACTCACTCCATTGCCCCAGTTACTGTTGTCACTCCATCTCATCCAGGGTTGTCTTCTCCTGCGCTGTCCCTTCACCCTTCCAAGTATAATGTCTTTCTAATAAACTATAAGAGAGTTTAACATAACAGAGGTGTTTTAGCTGTTTTGTTATTTTAAGAAATGAGCCTAAACAGATTTTAATACATCCTAAAAAAAATGTTATGTAA